AAAACAAACTCGAGCCAGAAGCCTTAGGTGTCCCAAGCACTTGTTGAAGAGGGTGTTTGGGCTTTAGGGTTCAGGGAATTTCTTCGGCACGCCCACTGCAAGTAATTTGTCGTCACGGACCTGGCTGCAGCAGGACATGGAAGCCGCAAGCGGCATTCGGCGCTTGGATCTCAGCCTGGCATTGGACGGGATGTCGAGTTTCTAGAGCATTCACCTGCGTCCTCTTTGCGGTGTGTAGATCCATCCTAATTATCTGTCCTTGAACATACTTTCAGCCGTCGCGGAAGCACATTGGTCTTGAGATGGTTCTCATGTTCGCAAACGGCTGACATATGTGCGTGTCTCATACCAGGCAAGACGCATCAGATCGCGCAGCGGCAGAGGCGACTGCTTGTACCAATCTCGTTGGCCACCATGACTCTGCAAGCAATCCTCGAAGAGGCCAACTTCTTATGGATCGGATGAGCTGAACCCTTACATTGGTTGAATGTCATTCGCTGATGAGTGCCTAGCCAGGTTGGTTGCTTTTGCTGCCTAGAAGCATTTTACATCGGCATGAAAGCTTTGTCCTCGCCCGATCAGTTGAGAGTGTGAGTATGAGAGTATGACGACCGGCCTGGAATGTGCGTAGGAGGTAGCCTGTTTCTGAAACGCTGCCGATGCAGAGAGAGCATCAAACATGTTGTTTCTCCAAAGTTGCTTTGCCGAAGAACGCAGGAACTGCAAGCATCGAGGAGGCAAAGACCTAGTGTCTTAAACCACTAGTGGTGAGGAAATCGAGCGAGAAGCGAACAGCAGACCGAAATATCAGACCACAAATACCGCTCAATTTCGACACCAACTTTTCCCTTTTGCACAGCTTACACAAGACTTGTTGTTCAGTACAAACTGCACATCTCAAATCAAGCCCATTCCCAGTTTCAAGCGAGGTCAAGCAACCCTTTGACAAACCGGAAGCGTGAAAAACTCTAAGTGCTAGCTTCTTCTGATGAGTCTGAAACTTTCAAAAGCACCTACACGAGCTGTGCGGTGATCCATGATGCAGCAGTCATGCTGTGAGAGTCATGGCGGTGGAAAGTTCACGACAACACGAGTGGATGTCTCATGAAATTTCCTGCCGAGAGATATCCCGAATTCACTGCAACCCTGCGCTGGGAGCGGCTCTTAGGTCGCGGGGACTGCTCCTTAAACATTCCAAAAACTGTTGCGGCAACGGCGGTCAAGCACACCGCCGCACGTCCATTGCTGCCTCGTGCTTGGCTGCCACGCTGGATCGCGAGCTGGTTGACACGCTGAACAAATGCATCCAAGGACATATCAACGTAACGGGTAAGTTGTATGCGACCATAAGATGAGGCATTGGCAGCAATAGCGTCTACAGATGTTTCATCGCGTATGCGCGGCGGCTCACTAGCACATCGTTGGTGAGTATCACGCAACTTTGCACACCGGCGCCGCTTAGGAACTTTGTGCCCCCTTTTTGTCCGAGGCTGGGCCCAAGAAAGCAAAAAGCAGCACGAAAACAAAAAATGCAACACTTGCAGTCTGTCACCAGATCTCCTGCGGTTAGTCGCCGCACGCTCGCCACGGACAATGTCCCATGCAGGGCTGGCGGCCATTCAGAGCAAGATTTTGGCACATCAAGGAGACGATACCTAATTTGAGTTGTCCCTAACACATGAGTGGAAGGCCTCCCATGAAATCCTGCAAGTGGTTATGCTGGCACTTTGCCTTTTCTAAGTGGTTATGCTGGTACTGAATATGGAAAAAAAACGAACACGGGTATTGCCGCTGAGGTCTGCCACTCGCCGCATGGGGATGAGTTTCACAGTTCCGGCGCGATGAGCCCTCAGTCAATACAAAATCAGAGCATCCCTTCTCGTTGATACAGTTTGTCCATGCATAAACATCAACTTCTTTGGAAATGTTGAATGACGTTTTTCAAGTATCCTGAAGCAGCTGCAGCTATATCACTAATATGATTCTTTTTTTTTCCAATGTTGATTCTATTTTTTTCCAATATTTATTATTTGCTTCAATAAAATCAACGAATTTGAGACCAAAAATATATTTTATGAATTCTGCAAGAGCGTGAACTCTGGGTCGTTTTGCAAAAATAGAGTTTGGGCTAAAATGGTTACGGTTTAGGTTCTAATTGCCATCGGATTCTAAATAAAGAAAAATTCTTTAGAAAAAATTTAGGTTCTATTGAATTTTTTCTGTTTTGGCCGACTTAATGTCATATAATTTGATAGAAAAATAAATATTCTATATTTGAAAATTATATTGTATTTATATCTGGAGAAAGTCTATAGATTTTAGTTAAATTTATATTTAATTAGATTTATATAAAATAAAGTTATCATCGAAATAAGATAAAAATTAGGATGCGAAATTTTTATATAATAAAAAATTCTTTAAATATAATTTTTTCCTATATTTTTAAACTAATTTCTTAGTTTTTTTTATTATTTGTATTTTATTCTATGGTTTCGTATATTTGACCGTTTATTTTATTTTTTTTCTCTATTATTTAGTGTTTTTCATATTCTTAGGTTCCGCCGTTATTTATGCGGTATTTATTGCTCTTGGATGCTTTAGACTGACTCTGTAATGAATTGGATAGGCACGGTTTCTGTATATTTTAGACACGCACGAGATTGGAGTAGATTTTTGATTTTTGCTGCTCTTTTAGATATTTAATTATTTGATATATATGGCCTCGTGGCAGGTATGGCCTTGCCCTAAAAGCCCGGCTGTTTCTATATGCGTATCTTAGATTTGATGGTCTTGCCGATGGCCGTGGGGCTGACTCCCTACGTGCGCCCTATACGATTGCGGAATCTAAATCTAGATTTTTGAACCAAAAAAACGATTTTAGAGAGAAGAATCTTGATTTCGCTTCCAGATTAGCAGAGCGTCGAATATACGATTTCAGCAAAACTTTTTGCGTGCCATCCAGTAGAATAGAGCTTCCCTCCATTATAGCAAAATTTTTAGCGCTGCAAAATTTCGAATAGAGTCCATCTTGCAACGCAGCAAAGCTTCTAGCACAGCAGAGCTTCTAGCACAACAGAGTTTCCTGCACAGTAGAGCTGCCTTCGAATATAAATTTACTTCCAATACAGCAAAGCTTCTAGCACAACAAAGCTTCCTGCACAGCAGCATAGCATTCGAGCAGGGCAGAACCTCGAACATAGCCCATTTTCTAACACAGCAGAGCTTTTACAGCAGACAACACAGCAGAGCTTCCTTCGACCGCGGCAAAGCCTCCAGCACAGCAGAGCTTCCAGAATAGCACAGCTTCCAGCACAGCAGCTTCGAACACAGCAAAGCTTCTAGCACAGAAGATCTTCTTGTAGCACAGCAGAACTTGGAGCACAGCAAACTTTTAACGCAGCAAAGCTTCTGCCAGCAGACTTGCACAGCAGATATTTCAGCACTGCACAAGACACATCATACGCATACTAGATAGAATACACACAAAACACGCAATACAGACAACACACACACAACACACATTACACACGACAGACTGAGAAAGTATTGCTAAGAAATAAAGTGTCGTCATGCTTATGAAATACAGGTTTGGTGCCAAATATACCACATATAAGGAATGAAATATTAGAGGTAAGAATTCCGCCCTTTGCAATATTAGATATCATGAGATGACGCTGCCTGAAATGAGCTGGAGAATCAATATGTAGTTACCCAGAACGGGGTCCAGGCACAGGCAATGCAGGCATGATTGCACAGGGTGCAGGGGAGAGCTTCGTTGAACGAAGTTCTCCTGCACTTCTTGCGTCCCGCACCAATACGATGGGTGGGGAGCTCCTTGACTCATGAACGAGAGAACTGCACTCGCACACACACCGACCAACACGCACATGACACACACAAAAAAAAAAAGATTTGATATTTTGCGCACTTGCTCTAAGCCTTTCGCGAAAGATTGCATAAGGTTTTGCGGTCCTTGATTGTTGCATTTTTTTTCGAAAAAATCAATTTATTCATTATTTTGTTGCATCTTCATGAAAACGGATGATGGCTTCATGGTGAATTCTTTAAATAGAAACTAGTATTCATTCTGTATTCGGAAAGATATGAATTTTTTTCACAAAAATATATATATATATATGATCCC